TGACTGGCTGGTGAGGGAAGCAGACAAATAAATTGACAGAATACCCAGTGATGAGTATTTTTATTAGAATATGACTTTAAAAGTTCTCTTTAGGGCCTTAGTTTTAATTTTGTTTTGCTTTTGTAAGACTTACTTATCCTGGGCTTTTACCTTTCTCATACTGTTCTAGGGAGTTTTATCTCATTTTTGTACATCCTTGGTTATATATAGTCTCTTAAATATAAGCTCATAACCTACCTTTCTCAGAACTTTTTGAAATCTATTGTCCTGACATCTCGGATATGTATATTTACTACTATCGTTCTATTTTATTACTATTCACAATTCTAAGATGAAATAATTCATTTCCTGAAATTTCCCTCTTTTTCTCAAAATTTCAGTCCCTTCTTCACCAGCATGTTTCCTGCTTTACTTTTTGGAACCAAGTTCAGGATAATAGTTCCTTTCTTTGCAGTGTGGTAAGAGTGTAGTCTTTGGAATCAGACAGATCTAGACTGAAGCGTAGTGTCTAGCAGGGTGACTTTTGGCAAGTTAACTAACCTGAGTCTCCATTTCTTCTGCAAAATAGGAGATATCAGGAGTATTTAAGCACACATAGATATTAGTCATTAATTGTTTCTTCTGTCTTCTGAGAGAGGAAGTCATCATCTTAATTTAATCAACCACGGTTATGCTCGAGATAAACTCATAGTCTAAGATATTTCCACTGTGTAAAATTAGGCTGCCAGCAAGTGTTAGAATAGAAGGTTTCTGTCACTATCTCTTTCCTCTTCTGTGCCAGCTTTGCAGTTTATATTATGTCAGTATCACCTGGCTGTAACTTTTTCCTTTTTTCTTCACCCAGATGCTTTCTACCTTTTTATGTAGTAGCCAGGGGGACTTGCCCTGGACAAGGATATGAATGTGACAGAGTTACCAATAAATACACAGATTCAAGGAGCGAGATGGTGTGGGGGTAGGTGGTGGGTGCCAGGTGAGGTGGGAGGACAGGAAACCAGTTAAATACATGGCAAGTTGGACTTGGCACAGTCATCGATAAACGGATTAGGTGGGAATCCATGGTTAGAAACTGTTGGTAGGCAAGGATCAGCAGAACGATGGGCCAGCTGGGATCTCTTTGGAGATAAGGATTTGATGAGCAAGTTTCCAGGAATGACCTGAAAGCAGATAGTATTCTCTGGGCCCCTGCCAGTTCATTGAGGTTGCATTGGTTTATAAATTTCTGTGTAAGTGTGTAACTGTATTATGTATAGGGCTGTTACCCTTCCCTTTTTTGTGGATTCATCAGATAGAATTGTTTCTTTCTTTTTTTTTTTTTTGAGACAGAGTCTCACTCTGTTGCCTGGGCTAGAGTGCTGTGGCTTCAGCCTAGCTCACAGCAACCTCAACTCCTGGGCTCAAGCGATCCTCTTGCCCCAGCCTCCCAAGTAGCTGGGACTACAGGTGCGCCTGGCTAATTTTTTTCTATTTTTAATAGGGGTGGGGTCTTGCTCTTGCTCTTGCTCTGGCTGGTCTTGAAGTCCTGAGCTCAAGCAGTCCTCCCACCTTGGCCTCCCAGAGTGCTAGGATTACATGTGTGAGCCACCACGCCCAGCCGATTATCTTTCTTTTCAACTTGCTAGAGTCTCACCTATCTTTAAAACGAAAAAAATCTTTCTTAGACCCACAGCCAAATTTTCTGCTCTAATTGGTTACCTCCCATTATTTTTTCAACCCATTCCCATCTCACTTTTGTCATTGGATATTTTTCAGTTCTGTCTTGACCTCACAGCTATATTTGACATAATCACTCCCTTCCTGAAAATTTTTTCCTTGACTTGCATGGACACTATATTCTGATTTTTTTCATTCAATGCCTCTGGCTCCTCCTTGGACTATATTAGCATTTCTCCAAGAATGGTCTGTGGGGTCCCCAAGATCATTTGAGGGATGCACAAAGTCAAAACTGTTTTCAAAATAAGATGCTATTTGTCTTTTACACTGTTGACATTTGCATTTGATCCTTGCTCCTTGTATTAATACATCAAGCTTAACAACTTTTTGGTTTTTCGAATGCTGTAAGCATCCTATTCCCAACGTCTAGACTACTTTCCCACATTAAACCTCCCTCCCCCTTCATGACTAATATTGAAAGAGGTGACATTGAGCTAGGTGCTACATTTATTCCTCAGTTCTTAAATATCCCTTAACCTTAAACATCCCTTCTCCGAGAGTGTTTCTCTGACATTCTCTGGTCTCCCTGAGACTCAGGTCCTCCTCTTATATGCACTCTTTGCAATTTTCATAGCACTGAGTTGCATGAGTCAGAATTCTATTCACTTAATTGTCTAATGTCTACCCCACTGTTACTGAGGCCCACTAAAGCAGAGAGTGACTCTGTCTTGGTCATCATTCTAGCATGGCTCCTTACATTCCATAAATATTTGTTAAATGAAAGAATGACTGGAAAGCTGTTGCAGGCCAGGCACAATGGCTCATGCCTGTAAAACCTAGCTCTTTGGGCGGCCAGGGCAGGAGGATCACTTGATGCCAGTAGCTCAAGACCGCCCAGAGCAACATAGCAAGACCTAAAAGTTTTTTTAAAAATTAGCTGGGCATGGTGGGTGCGCGCACCTGTAGTCCCAGCTACTTGGGAGGCTGAGGCAGGAGGGTCACTTGAGCTCAGCAGTTTGAAGTGACAGTGAGCTGTGATCGTGCCACTGCACTCTAGCCCAGGCAACAGAGCAAGACCCTATGTCAAAACAAAACAGCAATAAAGAAAACAAAAGAAAGATGCTGTTGCAATAAATTGAAAAGCTGAATGGAGTAGTAGAAAGAGGCCTGAATTGATGATCTGGGTTTGAATTTCAGTTTAGTTTTGTCATTAATAACTTTTGTACCTTTTAATATTCTAGCTTCTTTTTTTCCCCACAAAATGGTATTAGTATTGAAAATAGAGTCTCAATACCTGCCAGAGTAGACACTTATTTTTTAAAAATTCACTTGGCAGTATTTGAGTGGCTAACATAGTAGTGCTGTTTATAATTACTGTGCTACCTCGGGGAATACAGCAAAGCCTGAAACAGAATTCTTGTTTTCCTGGAGTTTGTAGTAGTTAATTTGTACATGATGACCCTCTAAGGTCCTTTCTACTCAAAAGATTCAACGACATGAAGTAATGCATATTAGGTATACTAGTTTGAAGATTAAATATATGATGGCATCTGTAAATATATGATGGCTTAGAAATGTCTGTTTACCTTTAATTTGTGTAGTTGAAATATTTTTGTTTTTGTTTTTTAGTCCAAGCCTTATGCATTTGATCGGGTGTTCCAGTCAAGCACATCTCAAGAGCAAGTGTATAATGACTGTGCAAAGAAGATTGTTAAAGGTAAATATATTTAACCTGCTGAGTTATCCCAGCAATAAGTAAAATTTTGTGATCTTTACCACTCATTCAACATTTTCTTTCTCATTTTAATGCCCCTTCTAAGTTAATTGCAGAAGAAAATTGTTTAATAAAAAGGTCAAATACAATTAGTGAACATATTATATGGCTCAAATTCCATGATCTAATTATATACAGCACCTGGCGAAGGATATTATAAGAATTATGTTACACACTTACTCTTGAAAGATAATTTCTATTAGATATTCCCAGGAGTTTCCAGGGTGGCAATTCTGGAAATTGAACACCGTGAGAATGAAAACAAAATGGCTAGACAAGTTTCTAAGAAGTAGTAGAGAATGGCGGTCT